TATTTATATTAATATATTTTATACTTATGCTTCAAAATGTCCTTTACTGCCCATCACAAGGATTAGATTACACATGTATTCCTTATTACACGATCTTAAATTAAGTAAAATTATCTCTGTAATTACATACAATGAAAGCAGAGCAAAATCTTAGAGTTTCAGTGAAGACTGGTTGAAGATCAACCTAGTAAGTCAAGGTTTAAGCCTCCCCACCACTCCCCCAAGAAACCTACAGCAAAGATGAACTGTTTCGTCTTGGAAACCCTTGAGACGAGAATGATAAGAGCAGAATAGAATTAAGATCTCTAGGAAAACAAGATCCAGGACTTCAGAAAACAGTATTGGTTCCTGCTCAGTGAACTGTAACTGAAATAAAACGTAGCTTTCTCATTCCTTGTGGTTTAATATATGACTTACTAGAAATAAAGCAAAAGATACTGACTTCACTCTTCAAGGACTTCTGGTGTAGGATGGACTAATACCTGCCTCGGGAAGGTTAAGTGGTGTTTGACAGACTAAGGTATGGCCCCCTGACTGCTTAGTATTCTGTAAGTTGGGGAATAAGCCACTTTTTATCCAGTATTTATGGGCCATTGCTCCATTTTTGCAGTCAGTATTTTATGTTCCCCTAAGAGATAATAGATTTTCCTCTTTGTGTAGAAAGACTATTAAACTTGGTATCTCTGTCACTGGTGTCCCCATGGTTTCATGTCAGGGAGAACCGACCTGTGGGTAAGAACAGCCTTTTGCTTTTGCAATGGTAGCAGTTTCCTGACAACCATTGTCTCTGATGTCCCAGAACAGTTTGTCCATCACTGCTGGGAACAAGAGCAACCTGCATTTGTTCATCAATACTGTAACCTTGATAATGAGAAGTGCTGATGCCCGAAGATCTCTGCTCAGCATCTCTGCACATCATCTACTGTCCTGCCTAATTGCTGTTCATGGGAAATCTTCTTGTTGAAAGATGACAGCAGCTACAATGAACAGTCACTGTCATTTAAAAATAATTCCTGTTCTGTCACAGGCTTAATAGTGGTTATGTGGTAATTTAGATAGAGGTGATGACACATAGTTTCTTATCTGGAACAAGTAATCAGTATAGGAGCAACTTAGCCCAGTTTGCTTCAGCATCTTCAAGAATGGCTACGTAGCTGTCAGCTGGAAATCTCATTTGAAGTTTAACTTGGAATGTCCCTTGAGAGAATAGCCACTCCTGTTCTTCATGCTATTTTTGCAGTATTTCTATTGTATGACTTTAAAGTTTACATTTTCAGTTGTGTTTTTACCTTGCAGATGTAATGAAGGACGTATTGGAAGACTTTGTGAATGTAGTACAGATGAAGTAAATAGTGAGGATATGGATGCTTACTGCAGGAGAGAGAACAGTACAGAAATATGCAGTAACAATGGAGAATGCATTTGTGGACAGTGTGTATGCAAGAAAAGAGAAAACACCAATGAAGTCTATTCTGGCAAATACTGTGAATGTGATAACTTCAACTGTGATCGATCAAATGGTTTGATTTGTGGAGGTGAGAAACTACTTCAGAGTTTCTGCAGGCAAAACTCACCAGCAGTTTACAAGCCTGTCAACTCTACCCTGCAGAGTGGTTATACTTAGCTGAAAGATCTAGCCACTTCATAGCAGAGATGAGAATATTCACAGGTTTAGTGATTGGAAACACTTATCTATTAATAAAACAGCTCTCTGTGATCATGAACATATGGTGTGTTAATACACATTTCACCTTCCTTGAATCACAGCTCCAAGAAAGATGTAAAGTGAACTTGACTTCTGCTGTGTATTACAGATATTACCTTCAGGTATTATAGTAAAGAATGCTGAGACAACTAACTGTCCTGAGATTATAATGCTATGCTATCTCAGTGTAACCACTGTGTCGATAAAAAGAGATAATGACCTCAGCTTACTTGTAATAGTGAGTGCTTGACTCAGTGCTTGACAGGGTATCAGTGAGATGCTGTCTTGAGACTATTCTGGAAGGTAAGTGAAGAATAAAAGTGCAAGATCCAGAAAAAAACCCCTTGAGTGCTTGGAACAAGACTCTGATGGCAGTTAATTCCCAAAATCAAAACCAGTTTAGAAAACCCTTCAGCAGCCAGTGTCTTAAATTATTTTGCTGCATGTATTTTTGTCCTAAAACTTTCTTAGGCACATGGAAGTACCTGCTAGGAGTGTAACTACTACCTCAATTTTTATTGTGATACCAAACTAAAACGGAGAAGTCACTAAACTTTAGCTGCATTATGAGAATACCTCAATTGTCTGATTTGCTCAGAATACAGTATTACTAACCTGCTCCACAAAGGATAGGAGCCATGGTGTTGGTGTTCCAAAATATATGGTAGCAAATAAGTATTGGCAAACGCTTCATTCTCAATTGAGAAGGAGAGATGTAGTGCAAGATCTTTCCATTTTATCTGAAAAACCCTTCTGGAGATTCAGGTACTTTGACTTCTGCATAGGGAGGGTAAGGATCATGAAGTTTGGCAGGGTGAGGTCAGAAGTACGGCAGCTGAATAGTGGTGGTCTAGGGAGCCAAAGGTGTTTTCTGTGTTGTGAAGTCTAAGTTAGTATATTCCTCATCTTTTTAGGTTTTGCTTTATAAATTTGAATAGTGCTAGATAAGAAGAGAGAGGTGATCATCTGTATACATATATACATCTATATTCATATAACACTGAACCAAAGCAGTGTTGTAATGCTCTCTACCCAGGACATACGGCCATCACATTATACTGGTCTTGGTCAGCTTTCCCTGGTCTTATTATTTTGTTTATGGAAGGAAATAGTAAGTGTAGGAGAGTGAAAAAAAGAGAGAAATGCCTGTAAGTAGTTTTTCAAGGAGCTAAAATTTCTTTTGTAGCTCTTAATTCATTAGTACCTTTATTATCGCTCCATCAGGGTTTTCTTTTCCCTGTGTCTACCCTGAGATGGTGAACACTTATTTCTTACTGTCACAAATGTTATGTTTTATATTAGGATTCATTTCACTGAAGTATCTTTCCAATGCACAGGAAACGGTATCTGCAAATGCAGAGTGTGTGAGTGCTTCCCCAACTTCACTGGCAGCGCATGCGATTGTTCTTTGGACACTGCACCATGTATGGCATCAAATGGGCAGATTTGCAATGGAAGAGGAACCTGCGAATGTGGCACCTGTAATTGTACAGATCCCAAATTCCAAGGGCCCACATGTGAAATGTGTCAAACTTGCCTCGGAGTCTGTGCGGAGCACAAGTAAGTACCGAGAAAACCAAGTCACAGCCTCTGTGCATTTGAGTTTGTGATATTTACGTGTGCACTTCTGATACCATGCTTATTTCCACCTGAAGTGCAGGGACATGTGGTCTCTTTAGGTAGTAAAAGTTGTTTTGTGAGAATCAATAATTACAAACAAAATATTCTTAATACAGTATTTTGATTGCTTCCAGGTAGGCTAATTATTTCTTGAATTCTTTCCCTGCTATATGTAGTTAGGCATACAAATGTGTACATTATGTAAAATCAGTTTTAACCATTCAGATTGACTTGGGCAGGTTACAGCTTTTCCCTGTTTCCTGTCTGATTATCCACAGCTAACCTTCTCTGCAGAGCTGGAAGGAACATACATCTGTAATATGACAAACTGTAAAGTCCCATCATCTAGACGTTTTGAAATTAATGTAACAAAAGCATACATACAATGTGTGATTTCCAGAATAGTTAAAACTTCATCTAATATTTTAGCTTAAAACTTTCATTCTGAAATACTATTGAAAAGTCATCAACAATGCTGACAAAAGTTAAATCTAGATTTGTGTGGGCCAGTGACATTTGCACCCTGCCTTTGGAAATCCAGGGTTTTAGAAACCAAGCATTTTCTGCACAGAAACTTCGGAATAAGCTTATGTTTAGTGCCTGGGCTGATTTCTGGCTTTGTGCAGCTGACTTTAAGGTTTTCTCACGGCACAGTCCTTTTCGTATAAAAATCCTGCTAAGTCTGCTCTTTTCATTGAGTTATTCAGAGCGATATCCTACTGTAAAGCTTGTCACTCAGTGTGTTCTTTTTAACCAGTCTGTGTCTCAGATACTGTTTCACTATAAGTATTCTGTTCCTACACTGCCTTCTCTGAGAGTATTCATTTTCTAGGTGGAAGTGTCTGAAAAAGTTTTAACCTTACTTCCTCTTAGAGACGTAGGGGGTTTTTTTCCTGTCCTTGAAGCTGACGGATTGTCCAGAGATAGAGGTATTTATTAAAGGGGGCTTATGTACCTTGCTGTTACAAGGTACATAAATGTTCTGGCTGGTGAAGAGCCATGTCTTGCCTTATTTTTTCCTGACCTTTATGGCGTAAGTGTTGGATTTCTTTTTTTCCACATTTTCTCCTTTATGTTTCTTCAGAATAAATGCTAGAAATCTTTAATGAATATATTAAAAAGCATTGCTTCTAATTGCTTCTAATTTGTGCTTTCCACAGAGACTGTGTTCAATGCAGAGCTTTCGATAAGGGAGAAAAGAAGGAAACATGTTCTCAGGAATGCATGCATTTCAACATGACACGGGTGGAAAGTCGAGACAAGTTGCCACAGCCTGGACAGCCTGATCCATTGTCTCATTGCAAAGAGAAAGATGTTGACGACTGCTGGTTCTACTTCACATACTCTGTCAACTCAAATGGTGAAGCCAATGTCCACGTGGTAGAGACCCCAGGTATGAGCATGATGTTGCCTGCTATCCCCTTGCTTTTGTTGTTAAGTCATGCAGTTGTGTACTACAAAGTAGCTTTGGTTGACTTGTGCGAGTGAGGTGCATTCAGAAATAGGCACCTATTCCCTGAGTGAGAGCCGTGGACGGCTGGAACTTGAGTGGCTTTAGAAGAACACAAGTCTCTCCAGATCTAGATTTTTCAAACCTTTAGACTGACAGAAACAGGCTTTGTTTCCTAAAAACAAAAAGTCAATCGGATACATGTATTTGTTAAAGCATTTCATGTTTCCACTTGATGAACTTTGCAGGCTGATTTTACCTGTCCTCTGGCAAGTCCTAGATGTCTGAATTGTGATTTTTTGGATTTTTTTATTTTTTGACCAGGCTTGTCCTACAAGATTAGAAGCAATGATATCTGTGGGGTTTTGTTGCTTTTTTTCTTACCAGTATGGGACCAGTCTTACACACAAAAAAGCCCACCTGCAAACTACTTAAATTATTCATACTGGAAACCTTTGCTTTTCCTTAACTGAGGTACCTTCAGGAATAGATCTGAAAAGCCTTTTGCATGGTTAATCCTTAGTAGTCAACTGTTCTTGATTTTGCTCAAGCTTCTGATACAAAAAGAGACCAAATCTATAGTGCAGTCAGCGATCTACCAGTTATTTACGAGAGTAGTATTAGTTTGAGTTGCTGGATGTTACATCTAACAGTGCAAAAATTCTGGTTTTGTACATTAGCATTGTGTGATTCCCCTGATTTTTATAAGCCTGATACAAAATACAAATCTTACTTGTGTGTTGAAAGACTCAGTGTTATGTTCTACTCAAGGAATTTTCAGAATTGGTCATTGGGGTGATCATCACTTAACACAGATCAGTGGCTCCTGGAAATAAATACTACTTCAGAATGTTTTAAATTCTCTAAAAATGTAGTCCAAAGTATGGAGAAGGATTGTGAGCCTTGTCTTTTAGGACAAGTCAACACATGCCCTACACTTTTGGAGTCTGACTTTTTCTTCATGAATAAACTTGTGTCGCCTTGATTAAAAGCTGAATCAAGCCTTCGTGCACCAGGAGGGACCTGAATTTTTTTGCCAGATGAGTGCTGAAGGAACAAACTCTGTTCGGTAGTGCTGTGTTCAATGGAGCAGACATTTGTTGCTTAGTGTTTCCCAAAAAATTCCTGTCATGTCCCTTTCCACTGCACTCACTCCTGCAGAGGCAGCTACCAAAACTGGGAGTCTGCAGTTTGGGGGCAAGCAGTGTTCCTATTGTCAGCACAGAAGCTGCATTTATTTGCTTTTGATTCCTTCAGTCTGTGCATTGAGCTCTGTAAAAGCCCTTGTTCAGTTTGTGATTATTGAGAATTTTATATTAATAAGAAGGATTGGGTTTTATTTTGGAGGATTATTATTTCTATGTCAGTCACCTTAAATAATTTTGCATCTATATTTCTCTTTTTCAAACACAATTCACTTATTTTGAAAGTACATTATATTTTTAATCAAAGAATCTGTGCCATTTTTTTTTTTTATTTTATTTTGAGATCAATTTCCAAGATGAGGAAATATCCTTTAAAAAAAAATCTGTCTCAAACAAATTTATTACTTATCTCTAGATATTGCCTACTAACAATAGCAGCCACCTGAGATAAAATGAGGAACACCCTTTTTCTGCAGCGCTGTTGATAAAAGATGTGGGGACTGTTTTGCTAATCTGCATTTGTATTCCAGGTGGTTTATCCGTCCAGCATCACCTTTGACTTGGAGCACTTGCATGTTGCAAATACAATTGCTAGTTATTTTACTCTAATACTCTAGATGAATAGCTCAAGGAGTTAACAATGTGTAGGCTTCGTCATGAGAACATGAGTTGTTTTATTGTTAAGATTAAACACAAATTGGAAAGATAGAAATATGCTGGAATGTTACAGGATGTACACATGCCAAAACTTCCATTATTTGAAAGGAGAATAGTGTTGGCATATCTCCGATATCCAAAATACTGGCTTCAGTACAAAATGAAACTTTAAACACATCTGTATATGCATTACCTTTACCATCTTGTACAATCATGCTTCCCTCACTTTGTTCCCTAGAATGCCCCAGCGGCCCTGACATCATTCCCATAGTAGCTGGTGTGGTTGCAGGAATTGTTCTTATTGGACTTGCATTATTATTGATTTGGAAACTACTAATGATCATTCATGACAGAAGAGAATTTGCTAAATTTGAAAAGGAGAAGATGAATGCTAAGTGGGATACGGTAAGTCAGGAGGCTTTCATCGGTATAAAAGCTGCAGTAGTTGAGGAAGAATAGAAGATTTTTGTCATATGCCTTAATGTTTCAGATTGTCTTTAGAACATGTGTGTTACCACTGGGGGTGGGAGGAAACAACCCTCTTTGAGCAGTACCTCTTGGGTTAGAAAAGTGAGTAGTAACTTCAGTTAAAATAAAATTTCAGAAAGAAAACGTGCTGGTGACAGAATAGTTGAGCTTTGCAGTTCTGCCACACTTAACATAGTATTAAAATGTTTAATAGAAGATGAGTCACTTCTGCATTAAGCGAAGAAGATTTTACACTTACGAAAATACTTACACACATTTAGTTGAGAGAATTCAATAACTAGTCACAAAATGGTGTCTGGAATTGGTTTGTTGAAATCTTCCCAGCCCCTTATCAACAGAAAACTATGCAAGAGAACCAGGCCTGCAGGCTGTAGGTTTTCATAGGCTGTGAGGTCACTACCTCTGGAAACCTTAGGAATCTGCTTATCAAAACCCCTTTACTACACTTGTGTAGAAGTCAACACCCACATGTGCTTGATGAGAGAATAATTAAAAAAAAAATAGATCTCCTAGGAAGCCTTTCATTTTTATTTAAGAAAATTAATTCTATGCTGTTAAAAAATAATACTAACTTTATGTATAGCATGATTTTTTCACTGATAGGTGAGACTATTACTTTTTTTTCTGTTGAATTATTCGACATTGACCATTTCTTTTACTTCAGCAAGAAAATCCAATATACAAGAGCCCTATTAACAATTTCAAGAATCCAAACTATGGACGTAAAGCTGGTCTCTAAGTCTCAGTTTGTATCGTCTTTCATTTTCTTCCTTTTTTCCCTTTGCATGTCACTTCAAACTCACTGTGTGTCACAGTCATTTAATCACAGTTTGAGTCTTGCTCAATTCATCTAATGCTGCTTTGAGTCTGGGGTTCTAAAGAGTGGAGCTTGAGAATTTTTAACTTGTTTGGACAGCAAGATTGCTTACTTACTAATACCACCACTACTGGTGTGAGCTATTCTACAAGTGATTATCTTCTTTGGTGGCTGAAAGTGTGGATATATGTAGAATAAGAGCTGTTAGGATTGAAGAAGCTCTTTAGATTGTGGAGGGACACAGCATTCAGGGGAGGGGTTGTCATCTATTTCCTCAAATCAGCAGTCAGTTTGCTTAAAGTTGATATATTTGCAAAGCTAGTTTAGATACTCTTAAGACATTCCAGCCTATAAATATCACTGGGTTTATTAGAGTAACTCTGGGAACATTCAAAGTAGCCTTACAGATTTTTCATTTTAACTGCTTTGGCTTATTAACCTAGTACAGAACTATCTGTATTTAAAGTGTAAAATGCATATGTTCTTCTGATTCTATAATTTTTACTGATTTTCTATTTAAATATGCATCTTTATTTTTTCCAACTTTTATTTCTTTTGAAACTGGCATTATCAGTGTCCTTGTAGCCCAACCAGCTTGGGGATCTTCATAGAAAACAACATTGAGAGGAGGAAATACTCTTGTCCTCTATAGATGCATTTTCCCCTAGTTTCTTAGCCCCTCCTAAACTTTGCGTGGACACCTCATTTCTGTTTGGAAATGCGGATTTCAGTTCTTTTCACACCCAGCCTGCAAGGAGGAACAGCAGTATCCAGAAGAGCAAGTCAGTAAACCAGAAGGGATGGATGGATGGATGCCTTCTGTAGGCTTTGAAGTTGCACTTTCTGAAAGACTTTAGGTGCTCTCCTGCTGTCTGCTCGGGAAGGAATGAGAAAGGGAGGATGAGATGGGGAGTGGATGTCAGAAGAGTGCTGAGAGATAAGAAGTACAGAGAACAGAGTAGAGGGAGGGGAATGAAGAAGTTGGGAAGGCAGCACATCCCTTTATACATGCAAGGCCTTTTTCAGGAGCCAGCGGAAGGGAAGAATCTGTATCTCTAATTTTATTCTGTCTGCTGCCTCCGTTTTTCAAAATCAAAATATTTTGTAAAGGTAAAATGAGGGCAGAAAGCAGGAATTATGAGTATTTAAGCTCTTATCTGTCCTCACTGTGACAATTCCAAATACTTTGTCCAGCATTCTGAGCCCTTCATTGATGGAATATACTTTCCTTTTCTCTTTGCAATCATTTCACTTCCGAGTGTGTTCAGAATTGATTGTAAAAATGTTCATTTTGCTTGCCACACCGACCACATTCACCTCATTTCCATTTTTCTTCTCTGAGTTGGTTATTCTGGGGAGGAAATGGAGTTCTTGTTCCTTTCTAACATTTCACATAATCCATCTGGTTAAGACTCTTGTTACCTTCTCTTCTGCTACACATTCAGCAGTGTACTTCTTGTTGCATGCAGGACAAGCATCTAACAAACCATATGGTGTGTAACTCCCATTCTGTGCTCTCATTCTCTGCCTCATGACTTTCAGGATCTATTGTCCATAGTGCTGCCATTTTCTCCTCAAATTGTACTCGTAGAAAGCTTTCCTCTTGTGTAACTGGAGGGATTGACTTTGCATTTTTGTTTTGTTGTGAAGTTTAAAAGTATGGAAATGTGGGGTTTTTTAAGCATTTATTGGCCACCAAAAAGGAGATTGGTATTTGCAGAATAGGTGACCCACAGGAAGTAAAGAAAATCCTCATTTCCGCTGTAACTAAGGTTTTCTGGGATCTTTAGATTGTTGAAGTATCTTTTCATTTAGGTTAAGAACAAGTTGTCTTCTATTGCCAAAGCAAGAAAGTCATGTGAAATCCCATTACAAGACAGTGACACTGCAGTAGGTTCCCTCCAGGTGTATACACATACACAATAAAATGAAGCCATGCAGTTTGTATGACACTTCCCCCCCTTCCACAGTGGTCAAATGCACACATGGGCTTGGTTACTTCAGTGAGTCAACTGCAGCACCAGGAAGCTTTGTCAGGGGCCAGGAGCCCAAATACCTCATCAGTTACGCTCCAAAGGGGCCTATAAAAAAGATGGGGAGAGACTTTTTAGCAGGGCCTGTTGCAATAGGATGGGGAGTGATGGTTTTAAACTAAAAGAGGAGAGATTAGAGATTCAGGCTGGACGTGAGGAAAAAATTCTTTACAATGAGGGTGGTGAAACACTGGCTCAGGTTCCCCAGAGAGGTGGCGGATGCACCATCCCTGGAGACATTCGGGGCTAGGCTGGATGTGGTTCTGGGCAACCTGATCTAGCTGAAGATGTCCCTGCTTATTGCAGGGGGTTGGACTAGATGAGCTTTAAGGTTCCTTCCAACCCAAACTCTTCTATGATTCGATTCTATGATGTTGTGAGTGACTTGTTGCCACAGTATCCTTGCAGTTGATGCTAAAGCCAGTTAGGCTGAATCAAGTTCCATCTGTCCTTGGCCTGCAGTGTAGCTACTGTCTTAGCATCCTTTCACTGCTGTCAGGCCTTGCTGTCTTCACTGCCCGTCTGGTTTAGATTTGTGCCATTGAAAGCGCGTGTACTTAATAGCAGCCTGGCTCCTTCCCTCTGCTCTTCCAGTCGTGGTAACCGACGCCCTCTGTCGTCTGTAATGCCCTTAACCTTGGCTTTGCTTCGTCCTCTGATGCAACTGCCGTATTTATGGGTGGACAGGTGGCTCGTTTTATATTACTGTAAAATAATTACTGATATTCATGAGAGCTGAAAATAGTAAGAACCAGCCCTTGAACAATGTATGTGATGAGTTTAAACATTCTAGAGTATAGTTTCTTGTAGTGGCTTAGAATTTAAACCCACAATAAAGGTAGCTTAAGTGACTGTTGAAGCAGTAAGTCCATGGAGAAAAAAGGCATAAGAAGGTTAATCAGACATCCTAAATAATAGGTTAATCTATATGCAATACTAGACTGGACTGTTACCTTCTGAACACCCCAGTCTAGTTGAAAGTGAATACTCTTGCGAGAACATAGTTCTTTATTTTCTGTTGAAGGTACTTTATAAAAATGCCTCCATCTTTATTTCAATGTATTTCACTCAATTTTGTATAAAGTTACTGTTTGATTTTTATTTTGGTTTAAGTGTGCATGGTATTTTCATTTATAGGGGCATGTAGCATTTTCCCTAACTTTGCATGCTTAAACCAACGTATTCTCTGCAGTGGCATAAAGAAAACATGTTTGTTTAAAAACAGCAGTATTTGTCTAAGATGGCAGGTTTGGAATACCATGTTTTAGTGGCCAGTTAAAAATGTGGAATGCTGCTAATCTCAGAGTTTACACCATGTGCCAGCTGTGAGGGCCATAGGTGAGGGGAGACTCCTGTTGGACTAGTGGACATTTATTTACTACTCCCCTGTTAGTTTTAATGATAAGCTATCTACAGAAGACCTCTCAAGGCCAGGGCTGAGGCACAGTGATGGAGTGTGGCTGGGAAAGCCAAGGCCGTCGCTGCCCATCCAGCAGAAGATCACAGGGAAGGAATTGCAAGTCCCTTGGGTGCCTGTGCTGCTGTTACAGTCAGAGGAGCCTCGAGAGTCGTTCAGGGATCAAACATAAGGTTGTGTGAAGCTGAATAGTTCTCTGTGTGGTGACTAGGTCTCTGTTGTTTGTAATGGGAACTGAGACTCTCAATTGCTGTGGGGAGATGCCTTGTTCAGTGACCTAAATCCCAGTGTGCTCTTCTGAGTTCTTAAGAGCCTGAAGTGCAAGTACATGGGAAGCAGAGGGTTTCAATTCTTTGTAAGTAGGGCTTAGGCTAAATAAAAAGCATGTAAATTTCAAATTCTGATTTCGTTTGAAACAGCAGCACCGTAAAAAAAAAAAAATACAATCTTACCATGCAATTTGCATTTTAAACCTGATTACAAGCACAAATTAATTGTGTGAGCAGCACCCTGCAAATTTCCCAGTTTTAGCCCTAACCTTTTTACCAATTCCTACACTATCCAATAGACATTATCTCTTCTTTACAAACTGGAAAATGTAAAGATACACCTCCCTGTATGTACATGCTGGGGGTAGCCTGTTTTGTGAAATGTTGAAGGTTAAAAGCACAGTGTAACAAGCATTACATAATGCCTTGCCTTTGAAAAGCTGTGCAATACCTCCTGGCCTGAGACAACTTATTAAGCTTACGTACTTGCTCTGCATCAGAGAATTTACTGATTTATATTTTTAAGAATTCTCCATTAAAACTTGTGAGGAAACAAATAAAGTATGTTGCCAAGAACTCTGACGTGTAATGAGATGCTTAAGTTACTTCAGATTAAATGCCTCATCCCTGGATGTTTTTCCACTTTCACTTATATCTTACTATTGCAAAGCTATTTACTGAAAATACTGGCGGGAGTAATCTTGCATTGATTACTCTGGCAGAGGACTAGCCACAGCATTGTGTTCCCATGATTTAAAAAGTAAATCTTAATTCCCCATCCCTTTCTGAACCAGTAGCTGATATAATTTTGGTCAAGCCAGAGTTTGCCTAGGAACTGTTGGAAGGGTCTGTTGCTGTTACTGTGTATTTGTGAAGTGCAGCCAGCACTGGATACTCGGTTCTTCCTTCACCTCAGGCCAGAACACATTGACTCTGCTCTTGAGAAGAGCGAACAAAGAATCCTGGCTTCCATTGTCCAGCGATCCAGGTTGTGGCTGGGTTCTGTTGGTCTAGGCAGGATTGGTTGTGCCTCATTGCTCTCTGCATGCAGAGAAGCTGGCTTGAAGGAGAAACACCCTTTGTCTGTGAAAGGAACCATGGCAGAAAGGCAGCTCACCACCTAAATGGTCTGCCTTAGCAGCAGCTGCTGTTGTCAGGGTAGACCAGTTACATGCCACGTAACCAGGTCTTGCTAACAGAAGGCAACAAACTTCCCAGGAGCTGTGATATGAACATTTCACACCTAGCTGGTTTCTTGCTTGCCTTGTCGCCTCTTGGCACATCCTGTGGTATTCCCAGTTGATTTTCCAAGTTTATGACCCTGAGAAAACAGACACACGCACCTGGTGTTTGTGTGTCTAGCAGGAGGATTTCCTTTAATTGACTCCAGGAAAAATTGGTTTAACCTGAAATATTTTAAATGCTGTGTGATTTAATACAGTGGAATTTAACTAATATAGTCATATAGGCCATCTCAGATTGAGGGGAACTTGCGAGGGAGAGAGATTCCTTTACTGCTGCTGAAGGCCACATTCAATTCTGGCCAGAATTGCACTCAGGCACTGCACTGCGTTCCCACAGGAATTATTTCTGTACACACGGAAGAGTTTTGCGCTGGTGAACAATGTTTGTTCAGGTTGATGTTCAGGTGGTGGTAAGAGGCGGAGTACTGCAGGTCCCGGCTGTGTGGGTGCAGTCCTGGTGGCAGTCCTTTCTCCTGCTGAGATTTATCTACTAATTTTGAGTCCAGGCTGTTCATCTTCAGTGCGCAAGGATGCCGTAAGTGCAGTAAGTTTTACTGAAGTAAAAGGAAACCTCGGAACAAAGGAATCTTAAAATAAGATTTATTTAGAGGTTTTCAAATCTCAGCAAGAGAGATGGAAGCAGTTGTTATTGTAGGCATTTCTCATATCAGTAGGAATAATGTTTTTATTTACAGCATTTGCATCAGTACAGAAGCTTTTGTTTTATCTGTGTATTTTGTACATACGGGGATTGGGGGACCTGCGGGAATAAAAGGAGAATGTTGAGTACTGAATGTTTAATGTACATATTGAATGTATATTATAAAAATACTACCAGCCTTTCCACTTTGTTTCTAGAATTAAATTATGATACAAGATAAGCAATTTAAATGTTTACTGTCACAGAATGTGGTCTGTGGTCAGCCATGGTTTCAAACAATGCTGTTTTACAGTTCTGTTCTTCTTTAAAGATACCATGGTGGGTTGCAGGCCCCCGAGGTGACCACAGGAGGTTGTGAAGGAAGTCTCTGGTGTGAACTGAACAGGATTGTGCTCTAACCCTTTGCCTTGTTAGCTGAGCATGCCTTTGTTCAAGTTGCTAGAGGGAAAACTAGTTTGACTTAAGCTGTTTGTATGTACAAACAAAACATTAATGGGTAATTTCTTACGCTAATTTTAGGCTAACTTTTACATTTCTTGCAAACATCGTCTCTTTTTCTTTTTTTGTCTCTTTAAATGTTAACATAAATATTTCTCTTTTTCTAGGGTGAAAATCCTATTTACAAGAGTGCAGTGACGACTGTAGTCAATCCTAAATACGAGGGAAAATGAACACTGCTTGTGTAACTTCACAACACTGTACGCAGCATAGCAATTTTTGTAGTCACAGTAAGATAGAATTAGGGCAAACTGCAGTGATTTTACTAATTCATTACATATAGGTTTGTTTTCCTGTGTGAAAATGTACCATATGTAATTTTTTATTTTTGTTTTATTTTTTTGCAAATAAAAGTAATCGGTGCCAGAGGTCTGACTCAAAAGAAAAAACTTGAGACTGTGTAGCCTGGTCAGCTGAGGTCACGTGGTGCCTTTTTCAGCCTTTCCCACTCCCGTGCTGCAAATCCAGGTCTTCTGCAGGGTGCGATACTGCTCTGGCATGCCTGGGAGGGAAATGGTGAAAGCAATTGGCATGAGGGCTCTGCCTAGCCATTTAGTATTAAACTTTTTAGCTTTACAGGGAAATCAGGGCTTGAGTTTGCAGATACAATTAAACTCATGTAGCATGGAGCTGGTGGTTATTTGGTCTTCTACTTGCTAGATGTGATTAAGTATATGGTAAGTTGAGTAAGTTGGAAGTGGGCAGTGTAAAAGACTGAAAAGCGTGTGCATATCTATTTTTAATGTGTAAGTTAAGTTGCTTATTGCCAGGTTAGGGTTAAAGTGAAAGGGTTGAGAAGAATGTTAAGATGGAAAAAATAGCTTTAAAACATGTGCCATTACTGAAAAAGTTGCTGACTGGTAACTTGCTTGGTTTTTCTTTGTAAATTCAAGCCCTGGGTGGCAGTATCATGAAGTACCTTACCAAGACATCCTCAAAACACCTAAGGGCCTTACTTGATACTGTGTCTTTATTCTGTCATGTTTCCTTGGTTTAAAGCCTGGTGCTTTGTCACCCTTCTAATCTTTTTAACGTATTTGGTTGCAATTCTTTTTGTAATATTTTTGTATCACACCAGCTTTTATTTTTCTCCTTTTTTGTGAGCAGTCTTAGCTGTAAATTTGCCTTTACCCTGTAGCTAAGATTGCATAGTTTGTCATGTGACAAGTCACACAGCATCCTTGACATGTGCCATGTATATTTGCCTCTGACCATTCAAACTGCATCATAGTCATATTCTTGTTTTAAGTGCCTTTTTATTTTAACAGATGTTCACTTTTTACAGTGCTATTACTGAAGTTATTTATTAAATAAAAGTACCTTAAAATACTTAAATCTCGTCTCTTTCTCTTGTGGAAGTTGATACTGTTCAAAAAACCACGGGCTAGATCTGTTTGGGCAAGAGGTTATGGGCATTGTAATAATACCAAACAGGTCCTTTAGATCAAATCTGAGGAGAGTGAAGGAGAAAGAATCTTGGATAACAAACATTAGCTGCTGTATGAAGTGCACAGAGGCCGGGTTGTGGCACAGTGCCCTGCATTACCTATGGTGGCCATTGATGTAAAGCCTCAAGCTTCTACTTGCATGTGTGCTGGGGAAGTTTGGTAGTTTGGTAATTGTTCCAGTAAATGGGTATTTGGTTAATACTATTTCATAACACATAGCAGCTGAGAAGGAGTACTGCATCTTGTAGGAAAAGCAAGTCTTCCAAAATTTTTTAAGGATGTAAGGTATGAGATAGCTTATCAAAACCACTTTGTAATTAAATGTATTCCTAAAGTATATTCATGGAGTCTGTATGATTCTTTTTTTTCAAACTGTTGGTACTTCAGGTTATCCGAAGAAGCTGTGGGAATCTGTTCAAAAAGTCCTTTTTAACCTCCATCCGAGAGCAGCAGGAGCCGGATCTCCATGAAATAGGAGGGGACATCAGTGGAGAGGTTGGGAATTGTGGGGGGTCTGTCTCCAACTCTCTGCAGGGGGAGCAGCTGGAGACAAGAGGATCCAAGGAGCAGTTACAAAGCAGTCTTGGTTGTCTGAGGCCAGTTACTGGAGGGATCCAGGGTGGGGTGGCCATGTGTTGGTGTGTTCGAGGCAGGGTGGCAGCAGTGGGGAGAGTGGGGATCCAGGGGCAGCTGTGGGACAGGCTGTCAGCCTGGCACGGGAGTGATGGGCACTGCAGAATTGTCTGTATTTCCCACTAACACACGAGCCTTCTTTCTGACCAGCTGGAAAGGTGAAGAGGAGGAGACTGTTGGTCCTGTTCAGATTTCCATGAGTGCTGTTTTCTGATGCACGTGTACTATATACATGTTGTTTGTGTCTGCACATGCTTACCAGGAGCACATACCTGAGCTTACAACAGGTTGGACTTGGGGACATGAAGCTGCTGCAGCCTCACTTCTCTTAGGCTACTGGATTTGGCATCAGGTACATTTTCTGATGTTCGGTACAGATGAGCAAACTCAAAGAGATGGGAAGAAGCTGTGCAGTAACTTAGCCTACTGTCCTTCCTAACAAAGTCCACATCACTGCTCTGAAGTAGTTCCTACATCATGAATGCTTACTCTTGAATTGCCTTCCCAAGTAGGGGAACCAAAACAAGCCTGAGAATGCCTTGTAACCTGACCACAAAAGTAGGAAACCTTGGGGGCTGCACCTGTGTATACAACTTGTGTTGTATCTTCCTCTTGATGCTGATGTTATGGAATTGTGACTTGACTGTAGCCATGATGGATAAGATTTTAGTTGGGGCACTTGAATACTTACCTCCCTCCTTACCGCTTTGTTCACTTCCCCAACAACACTGAGGATTTTCAACTGCTTGTTAAGAAAAGGTGCAGAAATTTCTTCTAACCATGTTCTGTATTACTTGGCTATGAAAACTTATTTGGAAACACGGCAGCTTAAACAGAAGGGACAATTTCTGACTTTTATGGCTGTTGGTTTTCAGTATTCTAGAAAGATTAATCCTACATCCCTCTTTGAGTGTATTGAAGTCCCTTTCAGATCCGGGTTTTTTTTTTTACCTCTTAGTCTTTCCCATACTGCACAGAACACTGGAATCCTGAACTAACCAGAATTCATGTCACAAAGGTAGCAGAATGCTGACCTTTAGGAACCCTGATCCCTACACAGCATTACCAGTTCTGCCTAAATCAAGCAAATTTTTAACTATGTGTGCGTTAACCTTGTTCCATCCACTCATTTATATGTTACACATTCTGCAGTTTCCTTAATGAGTCTGGTTTCAAAATGCTTTTGTGGATTGGTAGACAACTTTTACACAGAGATGCTCCTGAAGGCTCTGAATTCAGGTAGCCCATTCAGGAGAGCTTTTTTTAAACCCTTGTTTAAACTGGGTTTCCAGGAGCCACTTCCAGCCAGATGGAAGCTGCTTAATATTTCCAAGTGAACAGTTGCTTAAATGAGAAAGAACAGCTGCCATCCTACAGTGTCACAGAGCATATGATTTGCTGTAGAGCAGGATTGGATGCTTTAGAGAGATGGGGTAGCTCAAATACAATAAAATTTAAGTCCTGGAAAATAGAAGTAGTTGTGAATCCTCCTTACCTTATAAATAATGACCTCAGCTACTTCCCCTGGATTCTGTAAGTTGGTGAAGCAATGAATACTAAAATGCCAACAACAAATGCACAGACTGGGATCTGACACAAGCCAGATCCAAAATTCCAGTATATCTCTTTTAAAAGAGTTGCAGTTAACACAACTGTAGTCTAGCTATCCCTAATCCATCAATTTCTCTGATTCCTATCCAGTAACTTTATGGTGGGTGTTAATGAAATAAAGTTTCTTATCCTGGGTTGAAACAGAAACAGCAAAACCCAAGTCAGCTAAAGAAAATATCTCTCTGTAATCACATAGTTTATCAAGTAACATCCATGAACTATGTTTGCCACAGTATGTTGAGCCTCTTGACTTAACCTGCTTCTGGGCTGCTTGAAGACTAGTCTAGAACCAAGAGCTGTCAAGACAACTCTGACCACAGTCTTGAGCACCAGTGTGTGAGGAAATCTACACTGATAAATATATACTTCCCCTGGGATTCTGATGTTTTTCTTTCCTTTTCTGCACAATTGCAGAAACTGCTCCACAATATGACCATTTTTTCTTTTCCATCACAAATACAAATTCATTCTCAGAGCACAGAATGTGACCAGGGAGAGGGGAGATAAACTCTTTAAGGTAAAACTCTCTCATTTACTAAAGCTTTGGTATTGATCAATTAGAAGTAGTGGAAGAGTTTGCTCTCTAGCCACAAAGTTGTACTATTTAGAGGGTATTTTTCCAAGCACTTCTGTTTTTCTTTCTGAAGAATTAGAAGTGCTGCCAAAGCAGTTACTAGCAGAAGGAAAATATTTATAAGCAACTGTGAATACAAGCACTAGAACACAGAGTGCTGCGATGTAATTCAAGTGAATGTTCGTTAAGGATATTACATACATTAACCTGCATCTCATTAAAATATATAAAGAGCAGCTAGGAAAAAACACCGTAGGGTATAATTTGAAATAACTTGAGAGTATTTTGGTTAAACATTAATTTTAAACAAATGTTGAAGGCAGGGGTTTTTTTAATAACATTAACAGTAGGCTGTTAGAGATAGCTTCTTAAATACAGATAAATAAAAAAAGAAGTCTTGAATACTGCCAATGGAATATATCAGAAACATTGTTTGTTCTTCACAGGATAGCTATATGAACTGTCCCACCTTGTTTTAACACTGCGTTACATAAAACTTAAATAAAACAAGTATTTTTTACCCACAATAGATTTTTAAAGTACTATATTGTCAATTCTCTGCTACATGAAATTTCAAGCTCTTGGCTCCATGCCTAATTTTGCATATACCGTTGGGATTGCCAAAGCAGATTTTGATACATGCTTAAAATTTAATTTGACTTTCAAGTGATGTAAAGAGTAAGACTTCCATTATTAATGTCTTGCATTGCAAACTACTGAATATTACTTACATATGTGATTTTTTTTTTTTTTTTTTTTGCTGTTTCAAAGTTCCAAGCTTCTTACCAAGATACTGATTACCAGTTAAAGATGTCTCACAGTGAAGAATGAGCCAACACTGCAGATGAAAGCATGGATTATTCTTCATATCTACTAGATAGTACAGCTTAGTCACTAACACATCTACAGACCACAGCCTGCTTTTTCCTTTGCTTTCTGTTTCCTGAGGACATGATGTACCGAAGGAGAGGATGGAGCTAGTTCAGGCATGGCTGGCAGCAAGGTGTGCTGGCCAGTGTTTGTAACAGGGTGAATGTCAGGAAGCAAAGTTTCAGAGCAAGGAATGAATGTGCATGATGAGGAGAATGCCTGAGGTATGGAAGCAGTGCACAGAGAAAGGGTAGGCAGGGTAAGAAGGAGCCAGGGCATGTATGAAAGGGAACTCCACCTGTTTTCCTTAAGTCACCCACACTCCTCCAGCTACATGTTTGCTTTCACATCCTTTTACAAAGTTATTTGCTTTGCAATTACCAATGAATGTGTCTGTGATTAAATGGCATCTTGTCACATTCTCAACTTTTTGCAAGCTCTTCAGATTTTCTTCCATTTCAGCAACCGAAATTTCTCCTTCCCTGTGAGTTCTCCTACAGAAAGTGGATGGTTTTGGTGTATATCTCAGAAAAAAATTACAGAACAGCTCTTTAAAATGAAAACTAAGATACAGAACATGGAAAAGAAATGTTTATATTTCCATAATAATACTATAATGGCAATAAAGAACAGGCAATATAGATTAATCAAACCATTGTAGTTCATTAGATAAGTAATTACGTGCTGTAAAAAAACCCCTGGAAATTATCAAACTACTTTTTTATCTATTATTGTATTTATATTTTATGTTAGCACAGGGTCAAGAAAAGTAAAAAAAAAAAAAGAAAAATAAGTCTTTGTCTGAAGCCTCATAGATTTTGTTCTAGGGATATTTCCTAACCAAATCACAGCCCTAAGAATAATCAGAGTCATGGGATTTTTTCTGAATATGGAGTATAGACTCAGGATCAATGCCTACTTCAGAGTCCTGTATAAAAAAAAAGGCATCAAAATCCAGCAATTCAGATCAAATGCATATGTTCTTCTAAACAAGTGATAGTCTAGGATGCAAGATGGGGTAAGGGGTAGAGTTCCTGGGGTTTTTTTAATAAGGTTGCTGACATAGCATCATAGGTGCATCAGAAACTCTGAAAGGATGATAATTGATAGGATATTATAATTGCAAGACTGATAAAAATCAAACCATCTACTATAGTAATGCCTAATTTCAAGAAAGGAAAGTATAAAAAATA